ATCAGTTAACAGACTTGATAAAAATAAAATGAGGTGTGCGACAGGGATGAATATTGTCCTATTTTGTTAAATACATATTCAGAGCATATTATGAACCTAGCACCAACATACATAGACGAGGGAATACTTATAAACGAAGAACGATTGAACAACATAAGATACGCTGATGATAGTGTAATTTTTGCAGACAGTCCTGAAGCTCTGCAGACACTTGTCTCCAGGGTGGCAGAAGTAAATAGCAGGATTGGGCTTGATTTTAACATAAAAAAAACCAAATACATGGTTATAAGCAAAAATAGGATACCACCTGGTCAATTACTAGTTAACCAACAACTTATAACACATATCACCAGCTTTTGTTCTCTGAGTCCAAACTTAAATGAACAGTGGGACCAATCGACTGAAATTAAGATAAGGATCGAGAAGGCAAGATCAGCTTTCGTCAAAATGAAAAAAATCTTAAACAGTCACGATATAAAATTGGAAATAAAAGTTCGTTTACTAAAATGCTACGTTTTCTCCGTTCTTTTATATGGCGTTGAGTCATGGACCTTAACTGAAGCATCACTGAAGAGACTCGAAGCATTTGAGATGTGGAGCTATAGACGCATGTTGAGGATTTCCTGGATAGACAGAGTTACCAACGAAGAAGTAGTACATAGAATGGGTAAAGAGCGCGAACTAGTAGTAACCGTAAAACGTCGCAAACTGGAATACCTGGGCCATATAATACGCAATGAACAACGATATGACCTACTTCGGACCATACTTCAAGGTAAAGTGCATGGGAAAAGAGGTCCAAGACGAAGAAAAATATCCTGGCTGCATAACCTGCGAAAATGGCTCAACTTATCCACTACCGAACTTTTCAGGGCAACAGTCAACAAAGTCGCCATGTTACTGTCCAACATCCGTAATGGATAGGCACCATAAGAAGAAGAAGGACTAACGACCAACTTGAATGTTAATTTTCAAAAGTTATTTTTCTAATCACTCTAAAAATGGACAAATTCTTATTCTTCTTCTTCATGTACCATGTCCTTTCAGAACTTTGGTTACCAACACAGCTATCCTAATTTTATTCACTGCCACCCTAAATAGCATGCTTATACCATACCACTCTCGCAAGTTCTTCAACCATGAGGTTCTCCTTCGTCCTGGACTGCGTTTGCCTGCTATTTTTCCTGCATGATATTTTGTAGCAACCTATATTTGGGACCTCTCATTACATGTCCGAAATTCTTATTATAGTTGAATAATAAAGATAGTGCTGTATCTATCTGTATCTATAGGGGACGTTTCACAAACAAGTGGCAAGAGTTTTGAGAAGCGAAAACGCCATAAATTGACGAGTTATTTGGATTTTGTCTTTACATTAATAAATGAAAATGATAAGGAGACACCCCAGTGTGTATTGTGTATGAAAGTTGTGCCATCAGAATGTATGCTCTAAGTAAGTTGAAAGGGCATTTAGAAAAAGACCATTATAACTTTGTTGGTAAACCTCGCAGCTTTTTTACCAAAAAGTTCTTCGTTCTACCGGCTGCTGTAGACTAGACCGGCTAAATATTATGATTGACGAGTCGGCGAAGAAATTGCTTTCAAAAGCCCCTTTGTCTAACAATAAAATTAGTCGCAGAATTCAGCTCATGAGGAAGGGTCTCAATACAATTAATTAAAAAGAAGTGTATTTGGATTGCAACTCGATGAAGCTACAGATAATAATAAGAACGCACATTTTATTTCTTACGTACGGTTCTTAGATGGTAATTCAATCTTTGAGGACCTTTTCTTTTGTAAAAGTATTACTGGAAGTATAAAGGCTTAGGATTTGTCTGATATCCTGAATATTTTTGCGATTGAAAATAATTAGAATGGTGAGACATCGTGGTGAAGACTATAAGGCACTAGGCTGACAGTGTCGTAAACGGTTCCTTTCGGGCAACAGGTCGTACCCCATCGTATTTAGACGTTATACTCACAAGCGGGACTCTGCGAGAGGTGAACTATCTTTCCCTAGATATTCGTGGGACTAACAAGGCGAACAAACGGAAAAAGAAAAAAACTCAGGGCCAAAGGATTCTCGATGCCGAAAGGCTAGGCAACTCCACGGTTCCTAAAACCTAACCTACCTAGTACACTTCTTCTTCTTGTATTCTGTATTTTGCAAACTGCGGCTCTGAACAGATTTGTGGTTGTTGTGTTGAACCACGTACGTAGATTTTTCAGCCAGGAAATTCTTCGCTTTCCAGGTCCTCGTTTTCCTTAAAGAACTAATTGCAGCAGCCCGTATGTTTCGCTGTTCCTGATGATGTGACCGAGGTATTCAATTTTGACTTGATATCGTTGTCGGTATAGGATATCTTCAGAATTCTATGATAAAGCCACATTTCGAAAGACCCGATTTTCGGTAGCGTCTGTGAGAGTCTACGACTCAACTTCGTACAACAGTATAGGAAAGATATAACATCGTAGTAACCTGATTTTTATGGGTACTGATAAATCATGGCATTTGAATAGCTTCACCATTTTTTGATATGCAAATCTTGGTTTCTCTATACTAGATTTTATTTCTAGGAAATGCTCCCAGTTTTCATTGACGATTGTGCCAAGGTAGGTGTATGTTTTTGCTCTTTCTATTAGTTGACCATTCAAACTGATTCTTTGAATTTGCTGTTCCTTCTTAAAGATCACCATCCATTTTATTTTCTTCATGTTAGTGAAAGTCCGTTTATCTGACTCACTCCTGTGATTCAATTCATTAACTCCTGAAGACCAATAATGGCAATTAGCGAAGTATCTCATTCGTTGGGCGGATATATATTTGGGTCTATCCACAAAAAAGGTAAGAAAGTTGGCTTTTTAACTTATATGCATAACTCCTTAGATTTTTGCAAAGATAATGGAATAGTATTACTGTAATTTCCGTCCCACTCCTCTCACAAACTACGTCCTTAGATAGATCCGTTTAAGGACCTTTCAAAAAAGCCATTAATACTGCCTGTGATGCCTGGATGTCAAATCATCCAGGCAAAATCATGACTATTTACGACATACTATCACCATCATTACTGGCTCGACAACCCTTTTTGGGTCTTGGCTTGTTTCAGGATTCTTTTCCATTCTGATCTGTTTCGTGCTTTTTTCCTCCAGTTTTTATTTTTAGGGTTGTTATATTATCATTTTCTATTTGTTCTAAGTATCTCAGCTTCGGTCTTCCTCTTGTTCTTTTTCCTACTGGCATCTGTTTAAATATTTTGTTTGGTATTTCGCTTTCTTCCATTCTTTCTACATGTCCTATCCAACGCAGCCGTCCTATTTTAATGAATGTTATAATATCCGGATCCTGGTATATTTTGTAGAGTTCGAAGTTGTATCTTCTTCGCCAAATTCCGTTTTCTTTTGTGCCCTTATATGTGTCGCAAGATTTTTCTTTCGAAGGTGGCTAACAACGTTTCCTCTCTTTTAGTGAGTGTCCAGCTTTCTTATCCGTATGTGGGTACCGGTCTTATTAAGGTTTTGTATATTTGGCATTTTGTTTTTCTTACGACCTTATCTGGTCTTAGTTGCCTAATTAAGCCATGGTAACATTTATTGGCAATAAATATTCGCCTCTTCACTTCCTCCGCAACGTTATTATCAGACGTGACTAGGGATCCCAAGTATATAAAGTATTCATACACGTATATTTCTACTATAGTATGTCGTAAATAGTCATGATTTTCATAGTCATAGTATTATAACTATCGCAATGCCACTTGCTCTCACACAGGTGAGTATCCAGGTCAAGTTTCGAAAGACAGGGATCTTCCCATTCAACCGCGATTTGTTCCAAGAAATTGATTTTGACAGACAGGCCTAATTCAAATGTTAACGAAAAGGTGGGCATTTCTAATTAACATAACATTAGACTTGCACCTGATTACGAATCCCTCATCACTATACCTTCGTTATTGAATGAGAATCTACCTTCATTCAGCGCAGTAGGCCCAACTGAGCCCGAAAATAGAGAATCAACTAAACAGGCTGCATCGCAGCCATTTACTAACAGTGATTCAAATATCATAATACGCCCAGCCAATCCTAAAAACGAAACATATATTAACCATCAAATGCTTACACCACTTGAAATCGCCGAGCTACAAGCAACAAAAACACCGCCTAGGCAAACACCTCTAGAACCTAGGCAAGAACTGCAAGCTGGTACAAAAATCTGGAATGAGACATCTCTCCTCGTGATGCTGTTTTGGTGTCAGCAATTAGAACCGTCTATAAGCAAGCAGTCTGTGTTCTTGCCTGAAACTTTGCGGCCCCTGGTATGGGGTCGGTTGTAACAATGGCATACACTTATTTAAATGACCTATTCCGTTCAAACTGTTTTACTTAAGCTACTTGTTTTGACATTAATTTAAAGACAAATGAATATGTCTTCACATCAAAGGCTTTGATCGTTGCTTACATGTGTAATAGCTGTGTTACAGGAAAATTGTTACAGACGTACCCAGTCTACCCTAGAGCATCAACTACCATAATGCTAGTGCATATACTTTCCATCATAGAGGTCTCCAATATGAAACTAGTTTAGTCAAATTAACGAAATCTATAAATCTCTTTAATGAACGTTTACCTATATTCGGGCAGTGATTGTGAAATAATTAGGTGACTTTATATGTAGAAACATCTTCAATGTCTTTTTTTATTAATGTAAATTTTTGCCGATTTTAATATTTATCCTATTTTTTGTGTTGTAGTATTCTTTAAATATGTTGTAGTATGTTCAGTATTAATTAGCATGAAGATTCTTATAAATACAACTGTTTATATTCTATTTGTTTGTGTTGTACTTTTTTTAGGTTAAGATAAAGCAGCGAATACTTTATCTTTCTTTATTATGTTTTGTATTGTTTTGATTCTCTACCTAAAACTTCAAAGTACTCTTTCCAGCTTCAACTGTTGATAAATTATCATAATAATTTTGGACAATAAAAACAAATGTATTTTTTAGATGATTTATTGAAGCACCATAATTCATGCAAAATTAATTTCTTTTATAAACTAGATCTAGTGATATAAAGTCTAAACAGAATAAGTACAAATGATTACAATATCAAAGAAATAAAAAGCTAGATTATTTATAAAACAACAACAATTTTCTTTACAAAACTGCGGTAAAATTTTGGATCATTGATGTCTTAGGGAAAATCCACGATTGTTGTAAATGTGTATTTTTTTGTAATATTAAAAAAATGTTGGTGATTATTGTTGTTTAATAAAAATTCTCGAAACTGTATCTGACCTTAAATAGTTATCTTACAATATAAATAGGTATCAAATATTATATAAAAGTATAAAATAATACAAAAATTGGCATTGAGTTGAGCCCCAGGAATAAAACTTATCTTAAGCGCTCTTTTCCTGGTCGATAATTTCCTTAGTTGGTAAAGGGTTCTTTTCCAAAGTTTCTGCGTGTCTCAGTTTGGAGTTGTCGAAATTTTCAATGCCAGAGATGAGGTTTCTTTGTCCTTTTTCCTGTTCGATAACTAAAAATTAAAACCAAAATACGTAATTAGTAAAATTGAAGTGTAGAATAAGATCTTTTAAGTTATAAAATTTTAATTTTTGGTAAAAATAATATCAAAATACATAAACTCAAAAACTTTAACAATTATGGTTTAGTAACTCCTACAAGACCCGTGAGACCTCGTGCTCGAGCTTTGCGACCACTTCACGATCAATCTAACTAAGGATGGCTCAGATTCGGGTATCAGATGACACCCAGGTTTCATTAACATTCTCCAGGCATGCGAGAGTGACCATCCATTTGAAAGTTTCTAGTGATACAATAATGGGCCAGAGGCAAGCATAAAAAGCAAACTAGAAATATGCATAACGCAAATTCAGTCATCCGGAAATTTTGAAACTGGATCCCGTTAAAGACCATATTTCCGAACATGAAAAGAAACTACCGAGAAGTATCCAGGAAAAGCTTCACATATAAAGCTTTATAGCCAGACATGAAGCCAGCTCAAAACAATTTTTAAAATCAAAAAAATTACAAATGGTACCCTCACTTATTAAACTGGTAGGTCAAAAATACATGAAGAAGAAAGGATAACTGGTCTGAAAACTATTAATAGATATAGGCAATACTCATACAATAATTCAAACTGAACTACTAGCAACGGATTTTTGATCTTTGAATGCTGCAAAAAAGGCAACAAATGGGTCAAAATATTGCCTCTCCAGCTTGCACTTAAGATTCTGAAGTCAAAGTATGTAACAGCTTGGAACTGTAAACACTTCCTTAAGTAACTGGCGAAACACAACCAAGTAAGTTTGTTATCGGTGTCAGAGTATAAACGAAGTACGGATAACGAAATTGTTTGTTAGCAGTCTTGCTAAAAAAGGAGCGGGGAACCTAATACCTTTTATAGTGACAGAACTATTCTGCGATATCCCAAAAATAACTTGAGCCAACTACTGCAAAAATATTAGGCAAGCAACAAGGTTATTACAACTAATCGATATGCAAAACTACTTTTGTGCTTCAGAAAACTGAACTGAGAGTAATCACAGGTGTCTTACTGCATATTCTGCGAAATCTGAATATGCAGATTCTGCGAAAATGCGGGAGAAACATATTGTTGAATATCTAAAACGGGCCTTCTTAGAACGCGAGCTCCGAAACAAGTATAGCTCCGAAACCAATGAAAGGCTTTTTTGGAAGTCTAGAATATTTTGGAACAAAACATAGATGTAGGGAATGCACACACTATTTTTCAGGTATCAAAGGATCAAAATATACAAGGAAAATTTTCTTTGTTCTCTATAAACTATTTCTACAAACAATTATAACAATTTTACAATATTTAATTTTATTGCTGAAACAACTGCTTAATGAATGACCTTAGTTAATTTGTATTGTTTAGCATCGATATCAACAAACCTGCTTTATCGGGAAGAACTACTTTTTCCTCTGTTTCTGTATGCTTCATTGTAGTCTTATCGAAATGTTCGACGCCATTAAGTAGTGTCTGGTGTGTTTTTTCTTGTTGTACAGCTGCCAGGCAAAGCAAAAATCATGCAAAATTAAATCATAACAATAATGTTAGCAAAATCAGAAGCCATTAACATAAAACGCATATAAACACATATAAAAGCACAAAAATATAAAGGCAATAACACATTTATCATACAAAAAGCTGAGTAAGGCAATGTATAGGGTATAGTATATATAATGCAATGAATTTACAATATGTATAGGATATTTGGATACACAAATTAAAATAATCAATTCTGAAGATTATGATGAAAACAAAGACGGAGAAACAGAAATATACAAGGGAAATGGTAGAAAGATCTAGCAGAAAAGATCCATGGGATCTTTGAATGCTTAATAAAATATGTCATATTATCCCTCTACAATAAACCTATTTTTGGGGAAAATAGAGAATATACCTCCTTAATAAACCCTTCACATTACCAAAGTGTCATTTAAATAGTGACAGAAATAAATATGTATAACTAAAACAAATGTGCAAAGGAAATGACCAAGAACATTTTGATATGGACGAGAACCAATAGTGGAGATTGTCAAAGAGTGTATAATAAATGTCTTATTCACCAACAACGCAACGTACCAAAAAATATATTTGAATAAAACTTGATAATAAAAAGAAAAGGTTAAAAAGTTGTTTGAGACTCGGTACTGCGGCTCCTAAGTGAGCAAATCAGCCAAAAAATGTGTTAAGATGAATTTTTGGAAATGCAAAAGGAACTTTACTCGTGTATTACTTCCAAACTGGTCAAAAAATATACTCAGATCATTATTGGACCAGCTCACCTCACTTTTGGACCATCTTAATGCAAAATCCGTAAGAAAATACGTGGTTTACAAAAGAAGAAAAATAATTGTTCATCAAGACATACACTTCTTCTCATACAGCTCAAAAAACTGTTGCTAAAATTCACGCATGGAAAACGATTTTCATCCAAGGAAGAGGTGATTACACTTGTGGATGCGAGTTTTGGTAGTCGTTTGGATTCTCAATTCAGAAATGGAATATATAAATTTAAAGAATGCTGGAACAACTGGATTGAACATCAAGGAGATTATATTGAATAATAAAATATACGTTAAACTAATGCATGGTTATAAAAACAAATTTACTAAGATTTAAATTGGAGCTGAAAGGTCAGATAATAGAACAAGTGATGGAGTTTAAATATCTAACAATAATATTCAGGTTGCCTTAATGAAACAATATGGAGAATAAAAGTATCGGGAAAGAAATGAAAGACAGAATTTACAAAACAGTCATCAGATCAATAATGACAAACACGATCTGACGCAAAGATGACCAAAAGGATGTTAGAAGCAGAGATGAAAATACTTAGAAAAATTGATGGTAAAACACCATGGGACAGATATACGACGTAGATGCAAGGTGGAGAACATCAAGGACTGGGTAAGAAACAGAAGAGTAGAATGGAACGATCATATAAGCCGAATAGTAAAGACAAAAAATAGAATAGTAAAGACAGGAAGACGGTTCCTTCCCCGTCGAGGAAGACAAGCAGTGGGAAGACCACGTAAACGATGGAACGACAACTTACTGGGAGCACATTGAAAAACAGATGAGTTATGTCTAAATAAATAGAAGATGTCACACTATAAAATCTTGTTCCTTCTTGAACAATATACTACATAAAAAAAACTTATGCATATACGGGAAACACAAAGGGATGGAATTTCGAAGATTTTGACGGGGAAAACAAGCAATACAGGCACATAGAGATCTGGAAAAGTATCTAGCAAATGATAATAAAGCGAGTCAGACTATATAATAAAAAATAATCTCATGTTTAGAGGCAATAAGACATTCATTGGAGACCAGAAAGTGAAAGAAAGAAATTCGAAAGATTTTTTTTATTAATATACCAGAAATATTTACATAGATAAAAATAAATAACATTAACAGAAAAATGAAAGCAGTTTAGCTCAATTTTCACGTTATAAAATGTCTTGTGTGAACTAAAGCCTAGAGCATGCAATAACAACAAACATGTAATTTAAACACATAAAACTTACCTTCTTTGTCTGGCAACGGATTCTTTTCTTGTGTCAGAGTATGTTTCAACTTGCTAGTATCAAAACGTTCAATTCCTTCAATAAGAGCCTTTTCGGTTTTCTCAGCAGCCACATCTAAAAAATATAAATAGTTAAAATGTTGGTAGAGTCTTTATGTTACTTTTGTTAATGTTAAATCAACGCTTCTAAAGCAATTATTTATAAAACGTCAAATACGAATAGGTTCAATAGACGCTGGCACTGTAAATATCGGTTACATGTTTATACACAACAAAAATAAGTATGTAAAAATAGGATTCGATGAAGACTGAATAGCTTATTATTTGACAAAAATTACTATTATACCAACTTTAATAAAAATATGTTTTATGTTTCAAGACTAATGTTTTTACGATACATTCCAAGCAATATCAAAGCCAAGTTAGAATACTCTCTTCGGAAGTGTACTCTATACTACAGTTTACACTCAAAATTAACCTGTCTGCAAGCTATCCATTGATTTTCCTATACCTACATTAATTTTTCATTTATTTTAACATCTCAATTCACTGCAATGGTATGAACTATTGAAGAAATATTGCCAATATATTTTAGGTGGCCAAATGTCATAATCTCTCTACTACAATTATTTCTCTGCACTTAACCGTGTGATATCAAAGTTAAACTGCAGCTACCGTATATCTGTGACATATTAAGTGACAATTTACTGGAATCACATTCAAGAAGAGACCGAGTCATGTCTATACAAAAAGAAGTAGCATTACGTATCCAAAATAAGGTGATTTTCTAGATTTTACTGCTTTTCTGTTATCTAAGAGTCCTTATTCGTAACTGCACTTTGAGCCTCATGGTACAGGGTATATTTAACATGCGATTGAATGCATTTCAGTGGTCTTACCCACAAATTCAGCTCGAGACAACATACACTGCTTCAGAGTAAAGTACTGAACAAACTATCTTACTTGCCGGCAAAGCGAGGTTCTAGAGGAATCTTTAAATGCTCAAAAACATTTTACTGCAACACGAAAAATGTAAGATTTGAGATTCAAAAGCGACTAGAATAATGTTATAGTAACAAATGACGAACCTTTCAGGGACCCTAATTTAATACTTCTTAACAAGCGAGAGCTTATGACAGTCAACTAAAAAACACCTTAAACATAAATGAGCCATGGTGCAGGAAACTGGTTTTGTGACATGAGATGGTTATACATCGGTAGGACAGTGAATTCTGGTATAGGTCTTGTTTCATAGACTACGAGACAGTTTTTAGCAATTAGAACACAGACACATACATAAATGAGCACGAAATAAGAAATGAATGGCAGCTGTATATATCAGAGTTGTTTGAAGATGACAGGAATAATATTTCCGAATTCTACCAAAACTGTACTGACGGCCCAGAAATTATGAAATGCGAGGTAGAACGCGCTATAAATAATGCTAAAATTAGAAAAGTTTGTGGTTCAGATGATAGACTGAGTTTCTGAAACTAATAGAGGATGATAACATAACAGTAGTAGTAAGGCTTTTTAATTAAATATATAACACCGGAGTGATTCCCACAGATTGGCTCAAATCCTGGCAATTGGCTAATTAGCCTAATCAGCCACACTTTTAAAATTTTCCTAAGAATACTTCACAACAGAATTAGACGCAAATGCGATAAAGATCACGAAGATAGCCAATTTGGTTTTACAAATGCTAAGAGAACCAGGGAGGCACTTTTTGCGCTTAAAATCCTATTACAAAAATGCCGCGACCAAAGAAAAGATGTATTTGCATGTTTCGTGGACTACGAAAAGGCATTCAATAAAGTACAGCATGTAAAAATAAGGCAAATACCGAAAAATATCGGAATAGATAACAACGATATTCGTGTCATTTAAAATTTGTACTGGAGTCAAACTGCTATCGTGAAAATTGGAGATAACTACACCGATGAAATCTCCATACAACAAGGATGTACATACATTGAACATTGTTCAATGTTTACTCGGACCAGTTATTTAAAAAGGCACTTGAGAGACAACCATATGGAATAAAAATCAACGGGGAACTGCTAAATGTGATTAGATATGCAGACGATACAGTAATTTTGTCAGATAGTATTGAAGGTTTCCAAATTCTGCTTGATCGTATTCACGAGGTAGGAGAGGAAATATGCTTCAAAAAATAAACTCAAACCCAAATTTTTAGTGTTTAGTCGTAACCCACATCCCGATGCAATGCTTCAATTAGACGGAGTCTAAATTGATAAAGTTCACAAAATGACATATTTGGGAACTGGGATAACGGACCAACTAGATCCAGATATAGAAATAAAACGGAGAATAGCAATGACTAAAACTACTTTTATGAAAATAATTCATTTCTTTGCAATAATCATCTCAGTTTAGAACTAAGACAAATAATGGTTAGGTGCAATGTTTGGTCCGTACTTTTGTATAGTGCAGAAGAGTGGACGCTAAAAGTACCGATGATGAACAAAATTGAAGCATTGGAAATGCAGGTTCATAGACGAATGCTGAAGATACCTGGACAGCAGAAAACCTAATGAAAAAGTACTAAGGAGCGTCAACAAAGATAGAGAACTGCTAAAGACTGTTAAACATCGAAAAAGTCTTATTTGGGACATATAGTAAGGGGAAGTCGATATAAAATATTACAACTGATCCTTAATGCAAAATAGAGGGCCGTAGGTGTACGAAGAAAACAAGTTTCTTGGTTAAAAAACATTCTTGAATGGACTCAGATATCAAATACAGGAGAATTATTCCATATTGCAGAAAATCGAGAAGCCTTCGCAATGGTGATCGTCAACGTCGGTTAATTCTGATATGGCACGCGAAGAAGAAGAATACACATACATAGAAGATATTGGAATATTCAGAAATTTATACAGAAAATAAATATTTGCAGATTATGATGTGACTCACAATCGTATATTTCACCGCAAATTGCTCAAATTAAATGCAAATAACTTCTGTGTAGTATTACTAGTTACTGAGTTTTTTATATGTATTGTTAACCTGTACAAACATTGTCATCAAATATTCTTCGCCGTAAACGTAATTTTTAGCAAATAAAAATTGGTTTCTTTTCTGAAATATGTTAGTAAGTTAAAATTGAAAAATATTCTAAAATATGTTAAGCTCTATTATATAAAAAATAGGTAATATTAACGCATATGAAAAAAATTGGTTAAAGGCAACGTCTTCTCAAGTTCCTGGAGAGATGAACTGTGGAAAGTTAACGACTCTAGTGTTTGTTATTGTTATTATCTACTTAGTTCATTAGAATAAACTCCATGCTTAATTATTGTTATCGTATGCTATACTTATGAGCTTGACGTCACAGTTTAGTTAAAAAACTTAGGTGTTTCCAAACAATACAACTAAATAAATATACATACTATATCTGAATTTTATACTCATTAATATGACTTTCTTGTGGATATATACACAGATACTAACAGAGATCCTACCATTATGTTTCCACTATTAGACGAAGATCAAAATCATATTTCCTCCTAGTGTCCCGATTGAAACCCGAATGTTTCTAATCGAATTTAACACTGTTTAAAATAACATCCTGAGTTGCCAGGTGTACGATAATGTGCTTTTTATATGATAATTTTAACTTTGTCTGCAACATACAGGTATATTTCTCGGGAGCTGAACTTCAACATCTTCAACATCAAAAATTAATGGAGGAATTGTTACATCGGTCAAACTTTTAACAAAAGTAGAGCAGAACATAAAAGGGTTTTAAATAATAGAAAAACATATTCTACGTACGCACTTCACGTTCTGGACCATAATCATTCTTTTAATGACGAATTTCAAATTCTTCACATCCAAAATATAGGCCCTAAGCTATCTTTATTAGAATTTATGGAAATTAACAAATTAAAAAACACATACATAATTCTGAATGAGCAACTTGAGACAAACAGTTTCCTCCTCAACTTATTCACTTAAAGACTATAAAGTGTAAACGCATACCAAAAATAGATCACTTGAGAAAAACACTATGCTGAAACAGTTGTAGTGATAAAAAATTATAATAAATTTTCTGGAAGTTTTGAAACCAAAAGTTTTCAGTGTTTTATTGTTATGTAAACAAATATACTTTTTTTCCTTATGACATCAATATCATGTTTCGTATATTGGAGGATACGTCTACTTCAAATAAACATATAAATAACAAAAACACTAATACATACAAAAACGAAGAGAAGCAGAAATCAAATTCAAGTAGAGGGCGATATTAAAGCAGTGGAGTTTTACCTTATTTAAGTCGAAATACGGAGAAAACAAAAGAAGCCGAAATTACAAAACCAATAATGACGGGCAAGACGGACAGATAAGAGCGGCGCAAGATAGACGGGGTTGGAAACATGAGGAAAAGGCCTATGTTCAGCAGTGGACTCTTGAGGCTGGATGATGAATGACGGGCAAAACGAATAATAAAGGACAACAAAGCCTTTCCTCGCTAACGGACATTATTCTGCTTCAAAATCGTATATCGGAAATAGAAAATTAACGTCTATAAACTCAACATTAGACCAATAGTAGGTAAAACGTGAACGATGGCCAAAAACACAAAAAGACAGTTTTCGAAAGAAAACAAATTTTTGGATCAATCGCCGAAAATTGGATATGGAGATAATTATTAACTTAATCAACTGTTCAAAGAACCATGTATCTCGGAATTCGCTAGATTCCAGAAATTTAGATGGACTGGTCATGTATTGAGGACATATTGCCGAGGAAAGCTCTAGATGGTAAAATACAGGTCAGAAGAATAAAAGGAAAGCCAAAGCAAGTGGCAGCGGATACGCGTAATTTACTAAACTTTAAAATTAGGTGGAGAGTGGCGCGGGACCGCATATATTGGGACTGAAATTACAGTGGCCAAGGCTCAATTTGTGCTGTAGTGCCTTTGAAAGAAAAAAAATATATTAACAATTAAGCCATAAATACAGATTACGTAGAAAACAATGGATAAAATGTAATTAAAAAAAAATGAAAAACCTTTGAGCTAACATCAGCGCATGAGAACCTTACGATACTATAAAACTATTCGATGTACTTCATTTTATATAGAAAAATTCTTAACAATAACAATGAGTCGTGAATTGGCGGTGAAAACTTTGTTCCATATTGACACAAACCAAACCAAGGATAAACATATTACATCCCATATTTATTTTGTAAACTATGTATATATAAGAATGTTTATGTATGCTTTCTTAATATCTCTGCTACAACCACCTGTCAGATGTAAGTTACTAATAAAGGAACATTACTTTAGTGTCGGCTTAATTAACAAAACACGTTTTTACAGGGGAACCAAAAAACTGATTATAATTGAAAGGATAGTTCGTATCCATTTCTTTTTTAAAATTGTTGTGTTTACGTTGGTATCTAAATAATAAGAACAGCATTACTAGTTTCTTTTATTTTCATTTAATGGAGTTAAGATCTCTGAAATATATGGGTTTGGGAGTTACGTTTATATGTTGTAAGAGATGAGTGATATGAAAAAGAAATATTTGGAGTTGTGGCATGGTTTAATTACTAAATAAACGTGCTTAAAGTATGTAATGAAGTACCAGGAAATAATTAGACTAAAAATTTAATAGAACTAAAAAACTTTATTATTTTTAGTATCAAATTAACAATAGTAGTCAGTTCAGTCCGCCTTTATTTTAATTTCATTTTTTTTACTTACTAAGTTGGACTAAAATGTACGAGACCATAAACCAAGGCAACAACTTAAAAATACCAAAATCCAATTTTTTGGAATTATGTACTTGTTTTGTTAATTAGGCTGACGTTAGTCACAAATTTCGAAAGCTACGTCATTTTATATTTTGTTTGGAAACATTTATTTTTTTTAAGTTTTGACTGTGACAAAGTTTATTAAAACACTCTTTGCGGAAAATGAAACTTACACGCTACCAATTTTGTAAGATGTTATAATTTTGTAATATAATCCCAGCATTAGAGATTAGAAGCCATTTAGTGTAGAAAAGCGCGCTAAGCGAGGGATTATCTATCTCGTTTTCACAATACCTATTTCCTTTTACCTTGTGCATTAGGTAACACTATCTTCTCTTTGGTGTCTGTTCTTTTGAGGGTAGACGTTTGAAAATTTTCCACTCCGTCCATAAGCGCATTGTGGGTACGTTCCTGAGCTACATCTACATAATAATAATGGACAGTTTTAATGGCAGATTATTAACATACTAGTGTCATACAACAGTTTAAATTAAAATTATCCCTAATACTGACTATTATAGCAACTACTACATGACACATTATATATACATCATTTACGCATGTTTTGTTGAGGTCTTGATTCTAAACAAATTAAATTGAATATTTTCAGTAGAACATTTGACACTATGTTTTAAAAGTTTTTGATATACACACATCAAAATAATTAAGGAGACACCTATAATAATAGCTTTAAATCAATGTTACCTACAAATACAAAAATAAATTTTATGTTTTTAATCTTTTTTGTTGTTTTTTCGATTATTGTACCGACTTGGACGGTAATGCTGATAAGAATGACTAGAAAAAATTTAACCAAACTTTAATTGGGACCGTGCAAGTTCGGAACACTGACACCTGGTGTCGTAAATCAGCAAAATTTACTGCGCTTTCATGTTAGATCGAGATTACCGGATAACTGTCAAGGACGTAGGCCCAAAAAAGAATAAGAAGAAAAAGTAAGATTGAGGTTATGTCGGTATGTTATTCAGAGATATATCTCTGATGTTATTAAAAGGTAAACGTTGTATGTAGTGTAAATACAAATATTATTAAATTACAGCATTACTGTTAATATGGATGCAATAATAAAAACTGGATTTGAGAAAGTAAATCACCAAATAACTTTTCAACCAAGCACTGAGTCAAATGAAAAAGCTTTAGTAGTAGCAAATGTCAAAAAAGAATGGAACAATTATGTGGAAGAATTAAGAAAAATAAATTACCATAAATAATGCTAATGCATAAATTATCAGGTTAAGCCCATGATATCATCATATTGGTTTGAACAATTAATTCTTTCCCTGTAAACTTTTGGACAGCGAATATATCTTAATGCATCTTCAGAAAAACTTGAACTTGATGCATTTTTGTAAACTTCAAAAAAGTAAAATTTAAACATTAAACTTGATTTTTGGGTTAAAGTGAGTGTTGTGAAACTAAAATTTACACTTAAAAGTGAACTTTTATTTATTATTTATTTCAAACTGACTTTAAAATCGGGCGCAAGAATAATGCATAATTGAGGTTATGTTACTTATGCTTTTTTATGATATAAATCCACTTTTCCCTTTGTAGTAATTTGTGCTTCGAAGTTGGAAACGAATAAAACTTAAATTGACAATTTTTTGTGGTATTTTTACAATTTATAACACAGCATTTCCTAAATCCCATTTTCTTCAGTGACAGAAGGTGTAAATAAACAAACGAATATGAAGTATGACAATTGACAATATGAATTTATGAAATCTATGAAATTTGCAGTAAAAAATGCAAGATTTCTCCGCTACTCGCGCACGATCGTTTCTTGTATCACATCCAAGTACTTGCACGTCGCCAATATGCGTTTTTTTGTCTATACGATAAAAAGTAATATTTCTTTATTGGTATTATACTTTATTTTCGATGTCTATGTGTATTTTTATTTTTGCAGTTGCCAATAATGGAGACATCATTTAAATCGCGAAACGCAGCGGCGTGCTATAGGCATGCTTCAAGCTGGCAGAAGTCAAAGCGACGTTGGTGGTTAAGATGTCAAGAAACTGGCGATGTTGCTGAATGTCATACAGGCCGTACAAGTATAACCAACCAGATTAAAAACTGTTTTATTAGGTTGCAGGCTTTGTGAGATCGTACTGTATCTGTATCATAAGTACAAATAAGGCTGAAAGACACCCATCGGGTGTTTGTAAGTGGCCATTAGAAATATACTGCATGAAGCAGGGTTAAATGCTCAAAAACCTGTGAGAGTGTCTGTGTTATGCAGAGGAAATAACGCTCATCGTCATAAGTGGGCACAGGAACACGCAAATTGGGTTAGACGTGACTGGACTTTGTTCACAGATAAGTTCTGATTTGGATTTGCACCAGATGCGAGACGGGAAAGAATTTTGAGCTGGTCCCCAATTTCAATTGCGCATCCGCATACTGCCAGGGTCGTGCGACCATTCCTCGAAAATAATGAAATTGATTTTTTACCATGGCCTGCAAAATCGCCAGATTTAAACTTAATTGAGCTTGTATGGGACATATTGGGCAGACACATTGTACAACAAAATATTGGGCTCAATATAAGACAGCAACTCTTTAGTTGGAATTGGTAACATGACTAAGTATGACCCTACATAGGTAAAATGGTCCTGAGACGAAGTGTCTTCGAGGACCTGTTGATAACAACTAAGTTGTTATCAACAACTGTTTTGTATTATGTTATGAATTCTGCAATTTCTGATTAATATAAAACAAGAATGAGTAAATATTTTATCCTTTAAATATTAATTACAGTTAATTATTAGAAATTTTTTTTGGAAATTACCCTTTGAAAGATTAGGGAATAGATTTGGCAATCGTCAAATCAGCAGTTGCCAGATTGCAACAGATTTTCGCAATTAATCTCGAGAGAGATAAATATTTACTTGTTATTGTTTCATATAAATTAAAAATTGCAGAATTCATAAAATAGTATAAACGATATGTACTTTTTAAAAGCTTTCTCTGTTTATATTTGATGCATACAATATATGCATTCTAAAAACATTCCAACACTGCCAAACCGAAATATTTTAATTTTTGGTTGACACTTGCGGCTATGTTCAACTTGTACTTTCGGTAAACTCAACCCATACTCAACCCTTTTACTAATAATTGTAGAAACTTACCTAATTAAAATATTTTGTAGATATTGTTACCATGACAAAACATTGTCTCATAATATGTCATTGTATCATATACATTATTATTAAAAGTAATTGAAGGACTTTTTCTGGATGTTCGTTTTTTTTTAACATAGTGTACAAACTTACTATAAATAATGGATTTAATATTCAATAAAAGTTTCATGTATACAAGTATTAAAGGTGCACCTTTTCTAGGTTATGAGGTTAATCTCAAGTTTATCTTATACGTAACAAACAAGATGCAAGCTGCAAGTGTTGGTTAACCATAAAAGGTATTCTCAGTGATATATGCAGTTATTGCGTAGAGTCATGCTAATTTCGGTTTTCTACTATACTAATATCTTTTTGATACGAACTCAGCTACTAAAATCACAGTTTAAAAAGAAATTAAATTTTCAATATGGTTCCCAAACTATTTTTTTGCGGAATTTTTTACACTGAATATTTTATGTTTGGGAATCAACCACAATGAATTGTAATTAAAATTATATATATTTTTTTTTTCTGTAATAAAACAAAAAATTGTAATTGAATTAAAATACATTGTGCCTTATTCCCAAACATTAAACATTCAGTGTTAAATCTTCAAGATAAATAAATGTTACACTAATAAAATCTAAAAAAAAAACTACGTTAACGGCAATAAAAGATATTCCTCAAAAGAATAAAATACCAATGGATAAGGTTGTGTAGTTTTCAAGTCATAGAGTTGTAACAACAATGACTGATAATATGGAAGGAAAATATCAGTAATAGCTAATGTCATATGTGCTAATAACTAACATATTAAATTGTAATATACAGTGCTAGACAAAGTTCCCTCCCCCTCCATCTTTTATACTTATTCTTGTAATTTTGCAACTGTATATAAACATTGTTAAAATATTAACAGATTTCTTGTTAGTTTTGATTCTCCCCGTATAGTTAGCCAAGATTCCGCTTAAAAAACACAGACACTATTGAACAATTAGACGGTTGTTAATACATTGTTGCAAACAAAAGACTGTTCTTTTATATATTGTTGTTAACAAAGAAGCACAAAAATTAGTTGATCTCGCTAAGTTGCAGATCGCTTGGATAATTAGAATTATCAAGGAAAATTTTATCCTTTCGTTATTTTTACACGTAAACGCTATTTTTAACGGTATAATGTATTAACGGATATACAATTTTAGAGTTATCAAATGGTCGAATTGGTGCTTCACGTTAATAGTTGGCAGCTGTCAGTCAAATATAGTATGTTACAGCAAAATAATTAAAATTTTTTGGTGTCTTTCACATAAGGCATACATTTTGTCTGATTTTGTACATTTGGGGTTTCAAATTTTAGACATTTTAGAACAAGCAATATTAGTTGAAGCAAATGACGAAGTTATAGAAGATTTAATACTAAATCATATTTTAAATGATAACATACCTGGAGGGGGGGGAGTTTGGTTGGGCACCGAATTTTTTTTATGATACCTCCACCTTTTTAAGTTCTTAAAATTTGTAAATAACAGTGTCGGAATAGGCTCCTGGGACGGGAGGGGGGGTTTCAACCCTCTTTGGGTGCGCCACTGCCGTATATCAAACCCGCTATCCAACGTACGGTAACGAAGCCCGTAAACGTTAAAATCATTTACGTTATTCAATTTTCATACTGCGCATGCTCCATTGCTAAAATAACGTATTCTCACTCTTTTACTTGATAACTAATCCACCTAATCTTCGTCGTCAGCATGCTCTGCTTAGAGAATTCCAAAAGCTGCTTAACAACCCGCAATTACCTATACACACATATGTCGCCGATGCTAATTCACATCGATTGCGTTCCAGAAAACCTCCGACTAGAGATGCAATAAACTTGAATTCCAACAATTTCCAAATGAACTCCCAGTGGAAGAACATGCAGAGCGACAGACCGAACCTAATAATGAGAAACACACCATGCATCACAGAAACTCCACCAGGTTTTGACCTCCCCCGAAAATCATGGTCAACTCTTAACAGGATAAGAACGGGTCATGGAGTCTGCGCAGATTCCCTTTATAAATGGAGGATGAGAACCTCTGCTGAGTGCGACTGCGGCGCCGAGAAACAGACCATCCAGCATATGATTGGTTTTTTTCTGTGGTGAACTCTATCGAATCTTGTGCCGGGAATTGAGACATTTTAATCTTTATTTGGAACATTTATCTTTATTAACAGAACATTTCACGTTTATTTAGACACATATTTACGGTATTGCATGATAATATTGCAGTTTT